GTATTGAAGGGAAAAAACCACAAGTTAGTCAGTGTTATAAACAGTATATCAAATAAATAAACGAAATGGAATGAATGTAAAATAATTTTTTTTTTTTTTACATAATTTGTTCATTACCTTTTTCATCAAACACATGTAGCTTCTTTCCCCACTCTATTACTTCTCCTTTCCAATCATCCACGTTCTTCTTCAGCTCCTTTAACTCCTCTTCTAACCTTTTCCTCTCCTCCTTTTCCCCTTCACTAAGCTCTCCACTTATCGCCTTTATCCTCAACCTTTTCAGCAACTCTCCATCATTCTCCCCTTTCTCCCACTCCTTCAAATCTTTCTTTGCCTCGTCCAACCTCTCCTCAGCCTTCTTTAATTGTTGTTCAATCATAGTCATTTTTTTTTTATAATTAAAAAGATTGTAAAAATTAATGTCATATATTGATTGGTTATATGTGATATTTTTTGTGATCTGCATATCACATACAGGATTTCCGAAATTTACGTAAAGAACATAGTAATAGTAAACATATTGTTTTCAAAACACAACTCCTCCTCCGTTTTCAAAGATATAGGCATTAAATTTCCACGAAATGTAGTATATACATTATACTTTAGAGCCATGGAAAGATTTAATGGATTAAAAATACCAGTGGCGTAAAAAAACTCATTCGAAATACAAAGAATTTCTTTCTTTATTGTAATACTTCTATCTATTGCAACTTCCGAAAAAATTGTAGAAATAAAGATTCTCTCCCCATAGCACTGCTCTACAAATGTATTCTGATTAAAAACCTCTAATTATTTTATAAATGTAATGATTTTCCAGAAGCCTTAGCGATTGAAAGTTCGTAATACTAATAAAACGCTAATAAAACATGCTGTTTTCAAACCACTACTCATCCTCTGTTTTCAAAGGTATGGACACCAAATTTGTATGCAAGATAATATAATTAATATAAATTAGAGCTATGGAAATATTTAATGATGTAAAAATATCAATAGCGTAAAAAAGCTCATCCGGAACACGGAAAATTTCTTCTTTATCGTAATAATTCTATCTATTGCAACTTCTATGAAATAAAGATTCTCTCTCTCCATAGCACTGTCATAGAAATGTATACTGATTAAAAACTTCTAATAATTTTATAAATGTAACGATTTTCCAGAAGCCTTAGTGATTGAAAGTTCATAATACAGTAATACTATATAATTCAGTAATTTGAAGAAATATTTTGTTACCATAAAAATCCGCATATATTAATATAGATTTACATGACATTAATTAGATTTGTTAATCAACTTATATCAAATACCCCAAGGTGTTATTGTTATTTTGATAATATATATATATCTCTTTTTGTTAGGGAAAAATTAATCAATCTAAAGAAATTATAGTCAAGTCTTTTATTTTTGTAAATATTTATTTTATTTAAATATCTGATATTTGATACAATTTTAAATACATGTACATATATATTTTTATTCTTTGATCCAATCATTCATCCATTTCCTAACACTATCCATAACATTCTTGACATTCTCTTCATTATAATCTTTAAATTTAGTTGTTAATGCTTTTTTAGATTTTTCATAACAAATATCACATTCATCTTTAAAATCCTTCATCATCACCACTTCCAAATAAATCAATGCAATAATAGTACACAATTTTACTTTTTGCTGCTCATCATCTTTATTTTCAAAATTATTTTCAAAGTTGAATTCATCCAATGAATTTTTTCCAAAAAATTCAAGAAATTTATTTTTAGGTTGAAATTTACCATCAAATGATTGAAGTGACAAAAATGTTAATAGTGTTTCAATTTTGGGTTTTTTATGTTCATTTATTTCTCCCTTGGTCATCTCTTTCATTTTTTCTTTTTGAACATTATTAATACTATTAAAAGATGATCCTACACAACAAATTTTTTTAAATATAGGTTAATGTTAATATAGATAAATCATAGCAATGCTCACTGAGAAAATTGCTATTATTGGAATTGTCAGCAATGTCACTGTAGTTGTTATTACTGCACTTACGAATAATGGGGCTATTACTGCAGAGAATTTGACTATTATTAAGTTTTGCATTTGGAAAATTTGAAAGTTTTGTATATTGATCTGCAGCTACACAATTTTTTTTATGTAGTAAATTATAATATAGATTAAAATCATTTTTAATAATATAATAAGTAAATAAATAAATACCAGGAGGTTTGCGTAATTTCTTTTGAACTTTTCGAGTTAATACACCTTTAATATAATAAATTAATTTTGTAAATAATGATAAATGTATATTAAATTATTTTTATTATGCAAGTAAATAAATAAATACCAAATGATTTATGTGATGATGTACTAGTATCTATACTGGATGATGCTACCACATAACAATCTTAATAATAAATTATGTTAATATCAATATAGATAAATACCATTTTTAATATGTAAGTAAATAAATAAATACCAGGTGACCTACTAGCTGCTACATAACAATTTTAATAATAAATTATGTTAATATCAATATAGGTAAATACCATACCAAAAGAAAGAGAATTTTTGCTGGCAGCATACTGACTTATGTTATGGAGATGATTATTAGTATTGCTTCTAAGACTATAATATCCAGACATCTGTGATGATGCTTTATTTGGAACATACCTAACTTCTGGTGGCTTCTGAGAAATTGATTTTTTTGATTGTTCATCAATTACAATAAAACTAATAATATAATAATAATAATATTATTATTATTAATTTACAAGAAAAAAATCATCATTATTATTTGTTGCTTGCTTATACCTTGTATATTTTGAGATTAGATTATATTTTATTCCCAAGTTAACAATATAA